ACATACTAGCACTGGATCATAATTGGTCAATTCAGGACAGGGACATAAGCTTTTTTAAATATATGTAGTATCCATTACCTGCAGTTATTTCTGGTGATTTATGACTTTGGACCCGAGCTCTTTGCATGGGCATTTTGCAAGCTCATTCCTCCTTGAAAGAGGGGATTAGCTATGAAGAATTGCAGCATTACCCTTTTAGAGAACCTGGTTTGGAGGCTCTACCCACCAATGAAGGGTCTCCACCTTTCATCCAGTGGATCCAGGAAAAGCAAAGGACAGAATACTAGAATGTATGGCCCTGATGTTCTCATTGCTGTGATCTGCCAATAGTGGTCTCTAATGTACTGGCTCCTATTGGCAATCTCTGCCCTTTTCTGTGTTTTAGTGACACTGCACTTAAGGCTTCATTCTAAATGATTGCTTTAAATTTGCAGTAAACTAGAAGCAGAATATGTCTGAATAATTCCACCTCCCACCCTCTAGGATGCCAAATCAGGTGAATGTCCAGTGGGAAGGAGGTGCTAACTGCTAAATGGATGATTAAAATAATCCCTTGAAGAGTGAATTCCTTCAAAATATCTCATTACTAGGTTCACAATATTTCTATAGAAAAAAATGAAAATACCCCTTTCCCTACAGTGAGAGGCTAACTGTCCTTCTAACACAACAATTTAAGTTAATGTCCCAAGTGTAACTGATTTTTCCTTCTAGTTATGCTTCAAGCTTCCTTGTTAATTAGCATATGCTTGAAAGAGCAACAGCTAATTATTTGAATATCTTTATGTGTTATGGCTTAAGGAAGATTTTGTTCTCCAGTTCTTTTTTTAGTTCCTCTGTTATTACGTATACTTACTAAGTTGTTGGGGAGATGTAAGTAGAGATGCATGGCATTAGCTGATTTCTATTTATAAGTAACAAACAAACAAAAAAATTTAAAGGATTGGGAACCTTCAAGGTGTGCTCATTGGTCCCATTGCAACACATGTACAACTTTTAGGCACACGAGCAGTCCCAGCCAAGTTAATGGGACTACTCCAATCTTTAAAGTTATGCATATGCTTAAGTATCTGGCTGAACTAGGGCCATTGGTGACTTGGATAATGGAGTGGAGAGTACGCTTATGACACCAAACTGAGAGGTGTTGCAAGAACTTTGGAGGATAGGATTACAAGTCAAAATGATCTTGATAAATTGAAGAATTGGTGTGAAATCTACAAGATGAAATTCAATAAAGAGAAGTGCAAAGTACTACACTTAGGAAGGAAAAATCAAACGCAAAATGGGGTATAATTGGCTAGGCAACAGTGCTGCTGAGAAAGATCTGAGCATTACAGTGGAGCACAAATTGAATATGAGTCAACAATGTGATGCAGTTGTGAAAAATGTAAATACCATTCTGGGATGTATTAATGGAAGTGTCATATGTAAGACACGGGAGGTAACTGTTCCACTGTACTCAGCACTAGTGAGGTCTTAGCTGGAATACTGTGACTAGTTTTAGGCACTGCACTTCAAAAAAGTTGTGGACAAATTGGTGAGAGTCCAGAGGAGAGCAACAAAAATGATAAAAGGTTTAGAAAAAAATCACCTATAAGGAATGGTTAAGAAAACTGGGTATATGTAGTCCTGAGAAAAGAAGATGGAAGTTGGACCTGATGATAGTCTTCAAATATGTTCAGAGCTGTTAAAAAGAGGATGGTGATCAATTCTTCTCTATGTCCTCTGAAGACAGGACAAGAAGGAATCTGCTTAATCTACAGCAAGGGAGATTTAGATGAGATATTAGGAAAACCTTTCCAACTAAGGGAATTAAGCATTAGAATAGGCTCCAAAGGGATATTGTAGAATCGCCATCACTGGAGGTTTTAAAGAACAGGTTAGATCAAAACCTGTCAGGGATGTTCCAGGTATGCTTGGTTGTGCCTCAGTATGGGGGTTTGTGTATCCCTTTCAGCCCTATATTGCTATGGTTCTATGATTTTTAGCCTATGTAATGATCTAATAACTTTTGCTTTCTCACTATAGATTCATAAATTTTAAGGCCATAAAAGACCATTGTGATCATATTAGATAGTCTGACCTCCTGCAACAGTGTAGGGCATTGAATTTCACCTACTAATTGGTGCATCAGTTCAGTAACTTGTGGTTGAGTTTGAACATATTTTTTAGAAAGCATTCAATTTTAATTGAAAGACTCCAAGTGATAGAGGATGTTAATTACTGTTTGTTAAACCTTTGTACCTTATTTCTAATCTGAATTTGTCTAGCTTTAGTTTCCAGACAGTCTATCTTGTTACAGTTTTGTCTGGTAGATTAAAGAGCCTTACATTTTATCAAATATCTTCTCCCTGCCTAGGTACTCATACATTGTGATCAGGTTTCCTTTTAAAGCTTGTTTTTGATAAACTAAAAAGATTGAGTTCCCTACGTTTTTTAATGTAAGGCATGTTAGCCAGTCCAGTTCATTCCTGTGGCACATTGTTGTACACTTCCTAAATTTTCAACATCCTGTCTGCAGTGTGGATACCCAAACTAGATACAGTGTTCCAGAAGTGGACTCACCAGTACAGTATAGATGAAGTATAATACCCTCCTTGTTCGTATTTGATATTTCCTTGTTTATACATCCAAGAATCTCATTAGACCCTATCGCCACAACATCACACTGGGAGCTTCTGTTCAGTTGGTTAGCCACAATGACTCCTAAGCACTTGTCTGAGCCACTGCTTTTTGGGATACAGTCCCCTATCTTGTAAGTTTTGCCTTGCATTTAGCCATATTGAAACACATATTGTTTGATTGTGCTCAGCTAACCAAGCAATGCACATCACTTCCTAACAGGGGCCTCTCTTTGTGATTATTTTTCACCTGATTAAACTTTTCTCATCTGCAAACTTTATCAACAATGATTTACTTCCTATTGTTTGCCACACTCTATTGCTTTTTGTTTAAAATGAGATTTTAAGCTCTTTAGAGTAGGGGTTGCATCTTCCTTTGTGTTTGTACAATACCTAGTGCAATGGAGCCCCAGGCCTCAGTGGATCTTTGAGTGCTGTTGCAATTCAAATAAATAAATAACAATGAATACTTCAAAACCTCACTATTGTGCATGGGTCTATCTTCCATGTTTGGTCCTCTAAAATATGAATCGTGCAAAAATGGAAAAGTCAATCCCAAAAATATTGATGCCCAGCTCGTTGATATGGCTGACCTCACAGCGAACGAACAACTGGAATCCTGCAGAAAAGGAATGCCTGAAAAATTCAAAGCAATTTGCGCTGACCTTTTAGTGGTCTGTGATTTACATGGGCCCTGAAGATAGATATGTCGCTTGCCCTACCCTCCCCTTTATACTAACCCTCTTTATTTACTTTGTGCATTATGATTAATCTGGTATTTTGGTATATTTCTTGCATTTGGAAAAATTAATAAAAATTATAAGTAAAAAACCCTTCACTCTTTCATACATAAACTTAAAACTTTAGCAGCCAAAAAGTTATCACTTCCCACCCAACAGTTAAATAAGCACTCCTCCAGTAACTCTAATAAATATCTAGCAGATAATTTGTTCTGCATTGTTTGGATTAAATAACAATACAAGTACATCTTCATGTGTGCTTGTGGGTCTCCTTCTACAGTACAATGGGTTTTATTCACTCTCCATGCACCCCTCCTCCAATATTGCCTAAGTACATATTTAATAGTCATGTCTATCCATCCTATAGCGTTTGAGATTTACCCATTCTGAAATGAGTATCTTGAGCAACTAATTTTCTGTGATAGTTACTGTAGATGGACCTTATCAGCCTGCAAGCTCCATGTGGCCGCTAGCTATTTTTCAGCTTTCTTTCTGTCGACTAGCAAGCTATTTTTATTAGTTTGATGTAATTCACTGAAAGCAGAACACGTAAACATTCTCTTAAAATGGTAAAGCACGAGTAAAAGCTTACACCTGAAAATGAAAATATTCAGACAACCAGAATGCTGCTGTGAGGTCTTCATCCTCATCTGCTGCTCCAAGCATTGCACTGCTGTCCTTGAATCCCTTTATTAGCTACTCTTGCTTTGTCCACATCTCTGCTCTCGCTTACGTCTTTGTTACCATTTTCTCTCATTCCCCGTCTCTGTCAGCCCATGACTCCAGCCTAACTCCTTTGAACCCTATTGTAAGAGTGGGCATTCAGGGCTTCCCATTACATATGTGACTAATCTAAAATTGTTGTTTGTTTTTAACAATGCACAACCTTAATTCTGGCATTTCCTTACTTTTGTGTGCTTGCCTTTGCAACCTTAATAAAGTTGATTTGACATAGGTTTTTGGGTAATTTAGGTAATTTTGTCTAACTTGAGGATGGAAGTATAATTATCAAAAGACACAGGCATCCACCGTTTACTTTCTATTTATCACATTATCTTAGCCAAACTTATCCCATTAAATAATTACCCAAATCTTTGAGCTTTCAGCCTTTTATGAGCAAATTGTTTAGGGGTGAAAAATTAACCAAGTCCCCAATCCTAAAATTTACATTAGGAGAGCTATTTTTGAAGTCAGGGCCGCTCTGATGTGTTGGGAATTGCAGGACTGAGGCCAACATTTGTTAATGTTTAGCACCAATAATTGTATTGAGGGAAAAGGTTGGATTAGAACTAAGCTTAACAGGATAGAAACAAGGTATAAGCTAAGTGCAGCACAATGCCTCAATCAGTAGAGAGAGGCCAAGGACAGTGGCTGTAGAGACGAAGAGTTCTGTGTATAGGACGCCAGTAAGATCAAATTTAAAATTTAGTTTTCACTATGTCTGCTACTTTTAACTTTCTGCAACTTTTCCCTTTGAGTTCAAAGGTTCCTAATTATGTTCCAGATAATATACTCTAGAGTACACATTATTGTGTAACATGAAAAGAAAGTTCATCTTTGACATCTCCTTGAAGAGTTTTTCTATGCGATGTGCCGTCCTGGAGGGATCTTCATGAAATTTTAAACTCTTTTGCCCTTACAGATAATCAGAAAAAGTCTCCAGAGATCTACACAGCTCATGCAGAGGGACGTGGAGCTACAGCTATGAAAATTAAACGACCAAAGAAATCACAGCAACCGGGTAATATTTCCTTTTGACTGCACAACTTTACTGAGAAAGTGACAGACATTGGACAAAAGCGGACTATTTTTTTTTTAATCCAGAAACTTTATGGTCCAGGTCATCATCTGGTGTAAATTGGTTGACTTAAAAGGAGCTACACAGATCTAAACCAGCTGTGAATCTGGTGATGATTCAGATAAATTAGATCCTGGATCCTAAACACTTCTGATTGTAGTTTTGCAAAATCAAATTCCCATCAATGAGGTTTGGCAGATGTAAAACCCAGCCTCATCGTCCCTCATCTAGTAAATTCATCAACTTTAAAGCATTTTTGTTTCAAACTTCTTTTTTCCTCCTGTGGGTTTGGAGTACATATTTTGAGTTTGTTGTGGTTGAACGTCAGGACTAACATGAAGATTGTAAAATCCAGGTTTTAGCCAACACTTGTGCTTGGACAGTTTGATTCATTGAAAAAAATGCTTTTCAGTTTGCATCCTAAATGCCTTGAGCTGGAGTGCATGATGTGAAAATTAAGTTCTGTGGATGTACATAAAATATTATGAAATAATTTGAAATAATAAAATAATTTTCGTTGTCATGCAAATAAATATAAGATAATAAGAGAGGGGGTTTTAAAAGGGCCTAAATGATTTAGGAATACAAGTTGCACTGACTTTCAGCTTTCCTGAATGTCATTGAGATATGTGCTTTTAAATACCTTAGGCACTTTTGAAAATCTTCCCCAGGTGGCAACAACACCAAAATCCAACTGCAATTGAAGTCAAGACATGTTGTGAAGCTCAAATTTAGGGCAAAAGTGATAAGCTTTGTGAAAGTTTTTTTAATTTATTTACACAGGGTAAGAGGATGACTCATTTTTCTGTACAGTAGGATTGTTTATTTTGGTATCCAGAATAATTGATATTAGTTCTTGTAGATTTAAGTATTAAAATCTAGTCACCTCTGAAATTGATCTGTCCATGTTTATTGCTCCATTATACAATGGGAAGGTTACCATAATATTTCAGCTGGGAGATAACTGTCCTGCTCCTTCTCATGTTCCTCTTCTGAACTGCAATACATACGTGCATATATACTCGGGATCAATCTTGTATTGTTCTGGGGCCATATGGTGAAAAGTGAATAGCGCACAGGGATTCTTGATCATGCGCAGGATTCTTCCCTGGTGCACAAATATGTGCTAGCTAGATGTACTCGACTAACATAGTTCTGTACACCACGTACCCAAAAGCAGAATGGCGTGCAGGTGAGTAACATGTCCAATCTCCCAAGTCTATAAATCGTAATCATGAGGATGTTGCATAGAATATCTGTAGAAAAGAAATGTTTGAGTCTTAATTGTGTGCTTTGGCCACTGCTACACTGTGATTGCTGGTGACTGGTGGCTCACCATGTTGCTTCTGCTCAAAGTGTTCCACATAGCTCAAAATGTGTTGACTCTTTGTGTACAATCCAGAAAAATGACAAAAATCTTGCTAATACCCCTGACAATTTGGAGCTGTGATATTAATCAAAACCACATGAAAAGCAATCATGTCTTTATTTAATAGATATGGTGACATAGCTATGAAGCATGGGTTTTTTTAAGTGATAAAATACGTCTATTGCTTTTGTGTTCATATGGGATATTTAAAATACAGTCACTGCAAAAGTAAAATACATCATATCCAATTTTATTTCCTAGATTTTATGATTCAAATTAACCCAGGACCTCATTAACAACTAAGGTCATGTGAATTGGTTCAGTTGCCACAGAAGTCACTATCACTTCTCAGCAGGAGCTGAATATAAGGCACTGTTGCCTACTCTTGCCATTTTATTATATGTTCTGCAATATTTTGGTGGTGTTCTTAAAGCCCAAGCTGATCTGAACCTGTACATTTTGGACCCAACTGTGTAATCCTTACTGTGTTGATGAACAATCATTCAAGAAAATAGCTGCATGGTTACTAGAGCCAATGGGATTAATAGTTTTAGGAAGTTCTCACCAATGAGTTCCAAAATTGGGCCCTCTAGCTTTTTCCAGTGAGTGGCTGCATGGCTTTCTCATCTTTCTGCTACAGAATATTGTTGTTTTTTTGTTGATTTGCCAGTTAGCGGAAAAGTACTAACCAAAAGCAATTTATGGAAGAAGTAAACAGGGAAATGTTAAGAAAACAAAAATGTTTGTGAAAGTGCCAAGCTAAGCGTAGCTTTGAAAATGATCTCGTAGTATGAAGAAATAAAGATGAGTGTAATTGGCCTATGCACTACAAGGCAAGAAATGATTCCAAATGAATAGCTGTAATTTTGCTTTCCTGAATGAACTCCCAAGTTCTTTGATGAACGTAGCAGAGGAAATTACCACAAGTAACATTCAAAACCAACAGATATCCAAGATCAGAGGTGATTCATTCTCATGTTGTTGAGGATGTCGTTTGTCACCAGTCATTCAGCTAGATAGTCATCACCAACCTTCTTCACTGAAGTAAAGTTAGATAAATTGGATCAAGAAAACAGTGGAAATGTTGTGTAATTGTGTGCATGTTAGGGATTTTCTTTGTTGGCATGTATTGAGATTGTGTGTGTGTGAGTATGGATGGAGAAAAATAAAGAGTAATTCATGTATAATATTTCCTTCCATAGTTATCAAAGATTTTTACAGGGTGGGTAAGTATCATGTCCTCATATTATAGAAGAGGAAACTAAGGGTAAATTAAATTGAAAATATTGAATCACGGAGCAAAGGCACCTGTTCTGTCCACCCCAGTGAAACTGCTATAATAATTTAAGGATCATTTCCCTGGCTAGATTTCAAGGCCAGCCTTACCATATTTAAACTTGCACTGCCCTTGGTATTGTTGATCACTCTCCCCTTCTCTTCATCTTACTAGAGCTCCTTGAATATTTTCCAACAAAACTTGAGGAACTGGAGCCGGGCCTCTGGGATAGGGAGCCTGCCAGCCCCCCAGTACTCCAGCTAGAGCCTGGCCTCTGTTGGTAAGTAGGCTCCCGAATCCCCAGAAGACAGCCTTACAGCCCCCAGAACCCCAGCAGGAGCTGGAGCTGGATCTCTTGGCACTGGTAGGTTCCCTGCTCCACCAGCCCTGGATTCTGGATGCCTTGGAGTCCCCAGCCAGGGGCATTCTTCATGGAGAGGCTGCCCCAGAATCATGGATGCTGAGAGCTGGTCCTAGGATTTCCAGGTTCCTAACTCTGTGGCAAGGACCCTGGAAGTCCTGAGAGCCCCATCTCAAGCTAGGAGCCTAGCTCCGAGAGCACTAAGTGCCATTTCAAAAGTGACTTTCACTCATAGCCCACAGATCTTGGGAGACAGGCCAGTCCTTGCTTACAGACAGACCCCAACCTGAAGTAAATACTCACCGGAAACCACGCACCATACAACAAAATACAACAAAAGCACTAACCCAGGAACCTATCCTTGCAGCAAAGCCTGTTGCCAACTCTGCCCACAGATCTATTCAAGGGACACCATCATAGGACCTAATCACATCAGCCACACTATCAGAGGCTCATTCACCTGCACATCTACCAATGTGATATATGCCATCATGTGCCAGCAATGCCCCTCTGCCATGTACATTGGCCAAACTGGACAGTCTCTATGCAAAAGAATAAATGGACACAAATCAGACGTCAAGAATTATAGCTTTCAAAAACCAGTTGGAGAACACTTCAACCTCCCTGGACATTCAATTACAGACCTAAAAGTCACAATTGATTATCACTACAAAAGCTTTTTTTCTCCTGCTGATAATAGCCCAGCTTAATTGATTGGTCTCGTTAGAGCTGCTATGGCAACCCCCATTGTTTCATATTCTCTGTGTGTCTATATCTTCCTACTGTATTTTCCACGGCATGCATCTGATGAAGTGGGCTTTAGCCCATGAAAGCTTATGCTCAAATAAATTCGTTAGTCTCTAAGTGCCACAAGTCCTCCTCATTCTTTTGGCACATAGGAGTCTCCACTTTCGAGACTGAGGCTCCAAAGTGCCTCCTAAAGTACTTTTGGCTCCTGAGTCACTTAGATGTCTTTTGAAAATTTTAGTCAGTGACAGATGGATAAAACCAAAATATGACAATGTCAATTATTATTTTTATGTGACGGCTATTCTTTTGTTTGAGAAGGCCATGAAAAACACTGATCAGAGTTAATGAAAAAGGGCTCTCCTTCCTTAGAGTAACAGCATGAGGAGAGGAGAGTGTTGAACCTCAATGCACATTTTACGTTGTTCAACCTCAAAGAACTCTTCTGGACCCTATTAACAAAATGCTGAGGTGGCCTGAGTCTCTTTTGAAATGAATAGGTATAGTTTGGGTGGGGTTATTTTTTGCCCAAATGACATCAGAAATCAAGTGTATTTAACAAAGAAAAATAACGCGTCTCAGAGATAAACTATGAGATTTGAGAAGTGTCTATTTTTCACATTACAGGTCTGTTATTAAAATCATAATTCACAAGGTACCCTTGGAACTGTGTTTTCACAGCTTACTTTGCTCTTATTAATCTCTCTGTCAACTGGCTCCCACTAGATTTGTATCTGATATCAATTACAGTCCTAAATTAAGATGAAAAATTCAGAGGTAAAATGTTCAGTGTTGTCTGATGATGAGACAAATCCAGGTCAAAATGAAAGAATGGGAAAAACAACTTAGATCCAGTGCCTTCTGACAAATACAAGTATTGGTCTGCTAACACAGCAGCATGAAATCACTGCTTTGTGCTTTACAACTAGTCATGTTTGCCTTTAAATGTTGTTAAAAATTTTAAGCTAAAATTAAGGATGCTTTGCTTCTTTATGGGTCCATGAGGATGTGATTTTGCTGCCCCAGTTGCTGGTGGTGAAAACTTTCATTCACCAAATTCTATCAGAACTGTCCTTCGAAGCCATATTTGAATGTGATTTCAGAAAACAATCTTTGTAAATAGACTACATTCACAATATTATTACAGTATATATGGTTGCTATTTAGGATGTAGCCAATTCAGAGAAAAATTCTGAATGCAATATAGTAACTTTTCCTGGTAAGTGGGGTATCAAGTTAAAATTCAGATCAACTTCTCTTTAAGTAAACCTACATGTTAAGAAAAGCACACCTAAAATACTTGAAAAGATGTACAAAGTCTAAAAATCAGTGGTTGAAATGTCTACAGGCCAGATTCTACCACCATGACATTCAGTGGTACCTTAGTGCGCTAGTTCCACTGAAACCAATGGCACTACTTGAAGAGTAAGTCCCCAGTCCTGCATTATGTGCCTGCATGGAAAAGCCCAAGCGAAGTCAATGGGATTCTGCCCTCAGAAATCACAAGGCTTGGAGCTTAAGACACTTCATAGTATTGGGAAGGTTCTGTCTGTAGCCCTAGAGTGTTTGTGGGATTTTTTATAAATAAATACATGTACTGTGATGGATTTGACACAGGTATATCTAGGATTAGATGGGCGTTTTGGGTGGTACCTAATGGGCACAAATATAAACCAAATCTAAACACAGGGTTGAATTTGTGCTGACTCAAACCCCATGCCAATCAACGAGGTAATGGGGTGTAAATCAGTGCAACATTTGGCCCAAGGCCTTTCAGAACATTTTTCCTGAACATTTCAACAACAAACTATTTTTGCACAGATGCTGTACACTGGAGAAAGCTATTTTTGAGGTGATTCATATCCTGGTGTTCATAAACAATGTAATCATTTCTGTACTAAAATGCGAAACATTTCCCTGAGTCTCAAAGAAAAAATCTACAACATAGTGTATCTGTCCTAAAATATACTCATGGTTACACGATTCATCAATCAAACATGATTACACTCTGATAGAGAGCACTCAATGGTTACTTTTACACAGTCGTTTAGGACCTTATTTTTGAAGTTGTTCTCTGTCTAATGAGGTCGAGCTACTTACCACTACAGTGCTGGCATTGTATTATATTGTAGCTGCTGGTTTCACAGAGTGAATTGCTAGAATCTGACCCTCATAGTTTCACATTTTGATTACTGTAATGTCTCCCTCTCTGGCCCCCCTAACAATCACAATCCAGTTCATACAAAACATAGCAGCTAAAATCTTTTACCTTGCCCATCACTCTGACCACATCTTTCCCACCTCACCTTATGAATCTTCCATCTGAGTCCCTGTTTTCCATCACAAGTTTAAATATTTTGTCCTTGTCTTCAAAGCCATTTACAAAGTGTCCCCAATTTACTTTTATATCCTTGGCTCTAACCATGTTTTCCCCCCTCTGTTCAGTGAAGATCCTAGCCCTGCATGGCCATTAGTTTGCTATTCCCACAAATGTCTCCATTTTTCCCTCTTCACATGGAACATCTCCCTCAGGTGATCCATAAGAATCAACTTGCTTCTTCTCATCTTGCAAATCCTTGCTTCTGACCCTCTTCTGTCTTGGGGGCGAGAAGATATCAACCAACTACAGATGAACTTGCATGAATAACAGTCTGGTCACTCGATTACAGACCTAAAAGTTTAAATTCTTCAACAAAAAAACTTCAAAAAACAGACTCCAATAAGAGACTGCTGACTTGGAATTAACTTGCAAACTGGACACCATTACATTAGGCTTGAATAAAGACTGGGTGTGGATGTGTCATTACACAAAGTAAAACTATTTCCCCACGTTTATTCCCCCCCCCCGGGGCTGTTCCTCACACGTTCTTGTCAACTGCTGGAAATGGCCCACCTTGATTATCACTCCAAATGTTTTTTTTCCTCTCCTTCTGGTAATAGCTCACCTTACCTGATCACTCTCATTACAGTGTGTATGGTAACACCCACTGTTTCCTATTCTCTGTGTATATAAAATCTCCCCACTGTATTTTCCACTGCATGCATCTGATGAAGTGAGCCTTAGCTCACGAAAGCTTATGCTCAAATAAATGTGTTAGTCTCTAAGGTGCCACAAGTACTCCTTTTCTTTTTGCGGACACAGACTAACACGGCTGCTACTCTGAAACCAGTCAGGGATAGCTGATTGTACTTATTTATTTATAATCTGTTATACTCTATGTTCTGATCAGATTGTAAGCTCCCTGGGGCAGAGACAATGTATTCTTCTGTGTTTATACAGCATCTACCACCATGTTGTCCTAAACCTACATGGGGCTGTTAAGTGTTACAAAAAAAACAACAACAAATAGTGATATTGACATAATAATCTTTTCAAATAAGCCCTGTGATCACTATTATGTTGGCGATGATGATTTTCTGTTAGGATTAGATCAAGGTTACAAAAAGTCAATTATTCATAAAGGCACATCATCTCTTTTCTCAGAACAAGAGAATTTTTGCAGCCAAAACTTTGTAAACTGGCAGAGAAGTTGCTCAGAGTCTAAGAACTGACAGGCAGCTTGTAAACAGATGGAAGAGCCCTGCTCTTTGTGAACTTTTGCCCTAGAAAGTTAGAAAGAGAGAGGAAAAAAAGAGAGAGAAGAAATGATCATTAGTGAGGTGAACATTTGTTTTAAATTAAATTTTTCTTGTTCAGTCACATATTTACAAGGAGTTTTTAAAAATAAATTGAAATATTGCCAAATAGCCTAAAAATTATTTAGTACCGGCAAACAGGTGTCTTGTAATTTTTTCATGAGGGTGATTTGAACACTTTTGCTTTTTGTGTGCTAGATCGTGTGTACAATTTTTAAAATATATTTTTGAAGTTACAAGCATCTAAATGGTATGGTGGTGGCCTAGAATCTGGATGATATCACAGATTGCATCAAAAAATGTGAACAGAACTTTCCTCCCTGCTCCCTTTAGCCTCCAGTTTTAATTACAATTGGAAATTTATTTAAAAGAAATGCAAATTACCCTTGGGTAGGAAAAGCACATGCTGCCTATTATCTTTACTCTAGTAGAATAACTCAGTGACTTAACTTTGTTATACTGGGAATTGTCATATTCTTAGAGTGTCTGGTCTTAGTGTGTTCTAAGTATAGCTGTAAGAGTTAAGAGCCATGGGCCAAGCACTGTCCTCAGTGATGCCTATGCAACCTGGGGTTTGTGGGATTGAAAGGGTGTATTGCAAGGGTGCAGTAAAATGTTGCTTTAACTTACTGAAGAGTTGCACAGGATTTAGCTGTATACAATAACTCCCTCTAAAGCCAGTGGGAGTCTCCTGACTCTGAGTTCCAAGCTCCAACCAAAGACCATCATGGGGGCCACCTCTGGTGATCCAGGTGAATATAGAATTCTAACCCTAATAACATTGATAATAGAGGCGTAGGTAAGAATTTATGTACATTACATTATTTTAAATATTTTTCTGGGTATGAAAAATATTTCTTCCTTCCTTCATACAATATATAGGACTCTTTCCTCATTGTATCACTATTTACTGTGTTAGCCCAAAGTTTTAATTCTTAGAACTTGACTACACACACAACTATGTTTTACGCATTGGATAGTTTATTTTCTAATTCAATTTAGTTAAACTGATATGAACCCCTCAGTGGGTCCTCTAAAATTTGCACCAAACTGATATCTTTTTATTTTAGCTTGGTAATTTACCGAATTATTGTTGTTGTTTGTGGGTTTCTAAAACTTTCATACACAAATCCCTCCCCTTCTTCTCCTTGTCCCATGGCCCCAGCCCCCAACTCCATGTCATGGCATGTCCGTTTGGCTGATGAACTGAGAAAAGGTGACTTTTCCTCTCTTTGGAGGATAGGAAAATCCCTGCAACATTGGACAAAGGGTTGCTGCACTTCCATGAAGGTTTGAGCATTCTTGCAACAGTTTTTGATTTTTAAGTGGTTCAAAAGACCTACAGTAAACCTAGAAGACTCTTAGTGCAGTCTGATATGTGTTTGCTTTTGCATCCTGTTATTTAGTGCACAACGAAGAATAAACTTTGAACTGTTTTCTATAACAGGAACAGTCCCAGTTGTATGAGAAGAATCACAGTTTGCACTATTGTCACCCCATTCCTACCAAAAACAGCTTATAAATCTAGTTAGATCTGAAATGTTTCCAAAAGTTAATTGCGCAACAAATGCTGTCTCAGTAATATCATTCATTATCTTTTGCTTTCTCTCTCCTTAAATAGCCTTTATTGCTTAGCAGGTTGCAACTTACTGCTAGCAAGAATGCATTATTCAAGCCTTTTGCTGTGCCGCAGCAAGTGCCAGCTTGTCATGTTTTTAATTGTCTCCCTTGAACTCCACAGATACAATTCCTCCAACCATAACAAATTGCCCATGGGACATCACCATAACCACTGAGACTGATCCAGTACAGGTCACCTGGGAACAACCTGAAATTAGCGACAACAGTGGGGTGTTTACTTCAATAGCTTCAATATCCAGTGGCTCCTGCTTCCGGTATGGAACTCATCAAGTGCAATACACCGCCCATGATGAAGCAGGAAATGAAGCCTCCTGCCAGTTTAAAGTTACCATCAAAAGTAAGTGCTATTATTGACTGAAGTTTAAGAAAGGAAAAACAATCAGGATCCTGAAAACTTTTATTAACTAGATTTACAAATTAGAAATAGAGCTGTTTGCTTTAATGCTACCTCTTTGGCAGTAATATTTCCTGTAAACAGTTGGATGTTCACCAAACCATGAATATTTTGCTGTTCATATCAAGTCCTATGTACCAAGTGATGTGATTATATTAGGTGTAATAAGAATTGCATTCTTATATCTTTCAAGTACATTTTGTTGCCAGTTGGCCAGATCCTCCGCTGGCCTCAGTAGATAGGTCTTCATTAACACCAGGAAACAGTTGTGGTAACTGTTGGAAAATCTTTTTAATGACAACCACTGTTTCCCTGAGATGTGAGCTACAGCTAAGAAGTAGTCAGCCAAGGACTGAAATATTCAGAAAGCACTTGTTGTCCGACACTGATTCCCTGCAGCACTGACTTCCGAAAACGGTGCTTTCCAAAATGAAGTTAAAACTGGTAACACTCTTCCTGCTACTTCTCTATACCCATTAGTAATGCCTTGTCTACACGCACCAACTGTACTGATTTTAGCTGAACTGTTTTAGAAACTGATGTATTTAAGTCAGTGCAATCACCATTGTGTGGACCATCTTAAATTGGTTTGAGTGCCTTACATTGATTTAAGCTAAATGAATATAAGGCTTTCTCAACTGATTTAAGAATGTCCCCACAAGGGGGTTGCACCTCCTTTACTATATCAGTTTCTAATGATTTAGTTAAATTAGCACAATTTTTATGTGTAGAAAAGTCCTGGCATTTGAAAGATCCTGATGAAGATCAATGGCAAATGGATATACCAGTTCTTTAGTCAGTAGGGTTTGGATTTTTTAAAAAAATAATTAGGACTTCTCTGAAATTAGCCAGGTTGTTTCTTAGGTCTCACTGTAAATTAAACTGCTCTATTTTAAGCACAAAGATTTTTTGCTACCATTGATTAACATTTTTAAATGAAAAGGAAAATGCAAGTGATATTTGACTTAAGCCACAGTGCTGACAACTTGATCATTAGAGGTGGAAGAAAGAAGAAATAGAAAATTACTTTTCCTGTTTGAGATCTCCTAGAAGCCATAATGTAACAGCAAGATTCATCAACGTGGTGGGAGAGAGCATTAAAGACGTTTACTGAATATCTGTATTTTGTAACGATGTGAACAGTTTCATTGTACAAAACCCCACAATCATGTGTGTCATTTCTGCTGTGTCTATATTAAGGAATTTTGTAAAACCTTCCTCACCATCGATCAAATGCAGAACAGGCTTTGACAGGCTTAATTAAGGTGGTCAAATACTAGCAATTGCTGGAACCTCATGGCTGGTGCTGGCACGAATGAGGATTTTATTGTCAAATCTCCAAGTGTGGGCACATATTACTGATGTATATTGTATAGTGCTATTATTCTTTTGCCATATTTTTAATATAAAAATAACATTAATAGAAGAGCACTCCCTTTTCCATAAATATTCCATACCTTACCTTTTCTTTCCCTTTTCCCCTTTCATGATGGGATCTTCCCCATAACTACAGCTTGCACAATAGCTGTAGAATTTGATGAGACAGTTAAATACCCATGTCATTGCAGAATGCTACACTTACCCCACAAATTGCAGTAGGAGATGGATGCAAAAAATGCACTAACTTTTGTAGGATTTATTTTTCACAAGAAAACTGAAGTAGTTTAAATTATGGTCTAATACTATACTCAATAGTGATTTACTTAAACTGGTGCAAAAGACTGTGTGGACATTCTTATTTCAGTTTACACTATGTTTATTTTGGATTATCTTAAATTGATTAGGAATTTGGTTTAAGCTAAATTGAAATAGGGCAGTTTTAAACTGAAATAAGAGTCTCTACCTGGGGGTTTGCACTGTTTAACTAAATGGATTTATAAACTAATGTGAGTTGAACTAGAGCAATTGTGTTTACATGTTTTTATTTTCCCACAAATTATTATATCAAAACAGAACAATAAATTTATGATGTTTTTAGTTGGACTCTGTTCTGCTATTTAGAAGAGAACTAATAACACATAATGTTGTACCATGATAACACCACACCAGCTCTGTCCAGCCAAGCAGCCTAGATGATTCAAGATGTCATATTTATTTTAAAAAAATACTTTGGCTGTTTATCAGGAAGTGACTTCAATGAGGAAGCACAGTAATTCAATTATCAAACACTTCTCTCTGTCAACTAAATGCACATGAGCTGAATATAAGACAAAATATCTATTTACAATTACTCATCTTGTATAGCGAAGCAAAGTGTGTGTTGTAAATGGCTTGTTTAGTTTTAGTAAAGTCCAGCCATGAGGAAGTTTGTGTGGAAGGTTGATTTTTTATGAGAGTATCCATTTTTGAGAGCTCATTCTTTATCTTTCCCTGTTTGCTGTAGAGGATGTTGATCAGGTGATTCCGCAGTTTCTTTGAGAGCGTGTGGCACAAGCTGTCAGCATAGTCTGTGTGGTATGTAGATTGTAATGGATTTTTTACCTTCAATCCTTTTGGTACGATGTCCATCTGTTTGCATTTGGAAAGGAAGATGATGTCTGTCTGTATCTGTACAAGTTTTTTCATGCAGTTGATAGATTTCCACTGCATACGGCTAAATGCAGTGCCTTGCATAATGACAGCTTGTATAGGTCATTATGGTGACATGGGGCCTGATCATCCCCTCTTGTAAACAGGGAGGTGGCTTTGTAGGGATTCGCAAAAAGAAAAAGAGTACTTGTGTCACCTTAGAGACTAGCCAATTTATTTGAGCATAAGCTTTCGTGAGCTACAGCTCACTTCATCGGATGCATACTGTGGAAAATACCGAAAATGTTTGTTTTTATACACGCAAATCATGAAAAAATGGGTGTTTATTTTATTTGATATTTTATTTACCCATTTTTTCATGATTTGTGTGTATAAAAACAAACATCTTCTGTAGTTTCCACAGTATGCATCCGATGAAGTGAGCTGTAGCTCACGAAAGCTTATGCTCAAATAAATTGGTTAGTCTCTAAGGCACCACAAGTACTCCTTTTCTTTTTGCGAATACAGACTAACACGGCTGCTACTCTGAAATTTGTAGGGATTGTAGAGGGAAATGGAAAATTCCATGAATATCTACAAAGTGATCAGTCCATTGTGTGGGACAAGCCATAGTTCTGCTCCCAGGGCTATCAGCTGGGAAGAGCTCTGTGCCTCCATATCAGTCTTGGGCCCTTTGCCCCTTCTGCTCCTGGGAAGCATGGGTCAGCTGGAGACAAACCATCAGAGAATCCTCAGGTTACTTTGGAGGGGATCAGCTATATGGAAACAAAATGGAAGAGAAGGAAGGCGAGGGAGACAGGTCAGGGGAGAAGGGGTTAAGGAGGGGCAGGTGTGGAGTGAAGTTGAGGTGAAAAGACTGGGGAGAGGAGAAGTGAGGGGAGGGGTGGGATTGGAACACAGGGCCAAGAAAGACAGAACTTCGTACAAATTTCATTGAAATGGCCAATGGTGGAAAAGGTCCCTGCTTTTGTTGCTTCTGGTCTGACTGATTGGAATCTCTGGCTGGCTCCTGGTGCCCCCAGAGTGTGTGGGGCCCTTCTGCACAGTTTTGGCTGCGGGGGTATAGTGCCCTGGCTGGGTCCCATATACTCTTACCCCACCAGTGCAGCTATCCCTGCTTCAGCTGCTACTGGCTCTACTGGCTGGAGTCTCTGGCTGGGTTCTCTCTGTGGTTTTCCCTGAGGCCACAGGGCTGGACAGGGGGATACACCATGTGGATCCTAGTGACCCCAGAGAAGGGAGTGGGGAGGGGTTCCCCTACACTGTTCTGGGTCCTAGGGTCTAGCTGAAATATTAAGATCCTCTAGAATTTTTTGAATAATAAGAACATGTCACATATGTAGAGTGATTTATATTCAAAGATATCAAAGTACTTTACAAAGATGGGTAGGTGTCATTATGCCCATTTTATAGAGGTTTAAAGTAAGGAAACCCTGTGGCAGAGTCAGGAACTGCTGTGCGCATGCATGGTCTTTAATCACCAGACTATATTTCTAGGTCTAATTCTGCAATCAACTCTCTGTCTCCGTGTAACAACGGCTTGTTGCTTAGTGATGTGTCAGATATGTATGTGTGCATAGTGCAGAGCTATTTATAAAGTATTGTGGGATGTGAGGAAAGATGCCAAAAGCATGTTTTATTTTATTCAGAAGAAGAACGCAACTGATAGGTTAACACACACACACAGAGTAAATGATACTATTTTTCCTGTCAGCCCTGGCTGGCCTATATAACTGTGATTCCTTTCTTTCACCACATACTCCAACCATGAAACATTCCTAGGGGAATGGTTCCTCAGGAATGTGTAAGCCAGAGCAAACACTGTGCTCTGAAAGGCAGCATCCCCTTCTTGTGTCACTGTAAACAAGAGGGGTTGAAATACCATGGTTGACTAAAGGTTGTGCACTATATATTAACTAAAATTCATGGAGCAAAAGTGTTCAAGCTACATAGCATGCATTTATTGCTTTAAGAGTTTTTTTAAATGGGGAAGGGACTCCCTGGAGAAGAGGTAAACAGACCCAGATCCGCCTATTTCAATATCAAGTGGTGTTAGTTAAATACTTTAGTGGACGTACACTTAAGTGTGAACAATATACACTGTCTCTCTTGATGGGGAGTTGACAGTATCCATTGTCTCAAAGACAGTAACTCCTTTGAAATGCAAGAATTTAGAGTGAGAGATTGCTTTGAAGTTTCATTAGCTCCCTTTCGCTTAAGTCCCAGATGGCAGACATAGCATCATCAACACAGTTTTGATTACTTGTGGCACCTTAGAGACTAACAGATTTATTTGAGCATAAGCTTTCGTGAGCTACTGCTCACTTCATTGGATACATTCAGTGGAATACATCCGATGAAGTGGGCTGTAGCTCACGAAAGCTTATGCTCAAATACATTTGTTAGTCTCTAAGGTGCCACAAGTACTCCTGTTCTTTTTGCGGATACAGACTAACACGGCTGCTACTCTGAAACAGTTTTGATTGACGCCTGTATTGTGACTGCATGACTCCATTACAGTCACATGGTCATAGCAAAGGATATAATGGGTTTGAATAGAGTTAAAAACATCTTCCCAGAGACATTTGGGAGATGGTTGAAGAGCAGTAATGGAGAAAGTGACTGGTGGCACTGAACTTAGAGGAGTTTGCTGGAGATAGAAAGGGCCATGTTACACATGTGAGTTAGAGAGCTAGCACCTCAGCTGATGTAAATCAGTTTAGCTCCATTATTTATGCCAGTTTACTCTGGCTGCAGATTTGGCCCATCAGCTGTATTTTGCTTTTGTCATCTATCGCTGTTCGTGAGTATGCACAACTAAATGAGCCGATATAATATCCTGTCTGGTTCAAGTCATTGCTCTGCCACACAGTAAAACTAGATTCACAGCTAATCAAATGATGGGGAACTAATTTTGCAAAAAAAAAAAAATCAATTTGTTTCCCTTTTGTAGAATTCAAATCAGAGCTTTCTTTCTTTCTTTCTTTCTTTCTTTCTTTCTTTCTTTCTTTCTTTCTTTCTTTCTTTCTTTCTTATTTGAATTTTGATTTTAATAATTTTGAATTTGCATGTCTTTTCCCTTCTCTCCCACCCCATTTTTTTGGTACTGACTGCTATAAAAAACGATGCCCCAGGCTTTTCCCACTGTTACATTTTTTTCTTTTTTCTTTTGCTACATTGTTCCCTTTTCCAACTTTGGAAAAATGACAAAATGACAAAAGAAAAATGAAACATGTCCCAGATATGCTTCATTCTGCTGCACACAGTGGCACAAAGGGGAACAAACAAGAAAACTGAATAGCTGTCATTTGAAATGTCTTAAGTTTAATATTTTCAGTTTCATTTCCAGTAAAACTTGGAGGAAAAAATGAAGACTCCATGAAGGTACTTGGTTTTGAAAAATGGAAAAGTTTCATTAAAAAAAGTTTTGAACATACAATTTCAAAGAGTTCTAGAAATAACCCACTCTGAGCATCCCAGATCTCCTAAGCACTTGAAAATGGTATCATTCAGTAAAGAACTTAACTGTTTAAAAAAAAATTACAAGCATGTATTTCTTTGTGGGCAGTTTACTTACTGTATTTCTACTACAGTGATACTAATGGACTTCATACTTTAATATGTTTTTATATTGCTCGTAGAGCCAGATCTTTCATGCACTGCCCAACCTCCCACTGATGGGTCTTTGGCTTGTGGAACGTTATCTTATCCCGGCAGTGGAATGAACAAATGGCAGTTTTGTGTACCATTCTGCATGAAAAGCACTGGTTTCCATCGGAGAGCAGGGTCAGTGTTTTTCTGCCAGCCTTCTCAGTCTGGGACAAGTTGGTTTCATTTGGATGAAGCCTGGCAAATGACAAAGGCTCACATGCCAGAGACTTGCACAGGTGAGCAGGCTTGAAAGTTTCAATGGATTAGCTTTCTTAAACACTCTTGATGACTGACAGCTTATTGATTTACACATTCAGCGGCTATTAGAGTTTTGTATAAGACAACATGAAGATATGGATTCCAGTTATGCCATGAAATGAATGTTTTGTTTCTCCATTTTCAATGAGAGTGTGTTGGTTCTCAGGGCAACATTCTGATGTCAGTTACAGAGGAATGCAGTGGAGTTACAGTGGTGTAACTAAGAGCAGAAGTTGGCCTGAGAATTTACCCACTTTGCTTCTCCTGCAAAGTCTGATCATAAAAGTTGTGTGTATGTGCAATGGGGTTTCCCTCTTTATTGACAGCCTTCCAAAGTGGCTTGACAATAAACTCTCTCACTACACATTTTGCCTGTTTTCTTTTAGCAAATCTTTACTTCTTCTTCCCTCCCCATGTTTCTAATAAAAAAAGCCATTATGGTTTAGTATTGCTCACTACCATGATTATTCACTAGCATCATGTATAGTGTCAGGAGTTGAGCAGTCACAAATAGTGTGTGTAGGTCCTACAAAATATAGTTATTTTTGTTGGTTATGGAGAACAGGTATTTTAGATTTTGAAGGCAATTTCTCAGCATTATTAATGTTTTTAAGGTAGCACAACTGTCTGGCTAATACTAAATTGTTGAACTAAGATCCTTTAACTCTTGACTTAGAGGTCTTCCAAAATACTTCCTGAGACTTGCAAGCCTAATGCTATTCCCTCACCTCCCCATCACTACAGAAGGATGGTGTACCCTAGTGCTTGTCTATGCTTGGACATTGACCAAAATAGCTATTCTGGAATAATTATTTAAAATTTTAATTTATAATTTCTAAATGGATTAAGTTAAATCAGAAAAGGGCAGTCTTATTCCAGAATAAGTGTGTCCACTTGTAGAGTTATACTGAAATAGCTATTTTGGTAAATTTCCCAGTGTAGACAAGCCCTTACTGGTGAGTACTCTACTGGCCATTTTTATTAGATACTTTTCAAATAGAAATTGAAAGAGAACATAATTTCTTAAACAGATCCAAGAAGGACTCCAAGGAGGCAAGAGAACCATATATTTAAGGAAACAGGGCCAGATGGAATAGCACCATAGAGCGCTGCCTGCATTAGCTTCTGCAAAGGACGCAGAGCAGTCCCATACCGCCAAGGGTGGTGTCATAACTACTTACCCTGGGTTCTCCCGCGGGCCTGCCTGAGGCACAGTGCATTCTGGAACTCTTGCTTGGCTGGTGCAGCTCTGTACTACCCCCAGCAGAGGCTTTCTTGGCTTTGGGGATCAAACAGAGGTATCTTGTTGGGGATTGGCGACATCATAGGCAATTAATCTAATCTGCAGATGGATTAATTTTAAACATCAAAACATAGTTTTATCATTTGAATGGGGCGTATAGATGGAGACAGGGTCTAACAGAGGTGTCCCCAGTCATCTGTCTATGGTAAGCAATTGCAGATGACACAGAAAGCGTGGCCAGTTTCTTTCTGAAAGCTCAAACCAAGAGTGTGGAGCAAAATTTTTTTTTTTTGCATAGAGCCCTCTGTTAACACTGAAAGTTTGTGATCTGTTACCGGAAATGGCAGTGTGCTACTCAGGTTGTAAATTTGTTCCTGTCAGGTTGTATGTGATAAACCATCACAAATAGCTACTTTTTTATTTGAGCTAGAGTCTTACCCGTGAAACCAAAGTGACATTTTTACCCCTCATTCAAGTATTGAGCAGTATATTTATGGTTTTGATAAATCCCTCATGCTGCTTTCTGTTGTGGCCTTGTGTTTAAGTAATGTGATACATTTGCACTTGCCAGGACTCTACTCTCTATTCTATGAAAACTCCATAACACTTTTGTGCATTTTGGACATATCTTTATTAACTAACCTCATGTTATATGAACTATTAACAGTCAGGCGTCGCACAGGGTCCAGAAGAGGAGATTCACTACAGTACTATGAGGGTGACTGCAATGAACAGGCCGTGAAAAAAAACATCCTAGCAACTGTGGAACAAATTGTAGCCAAAGATCCCTCTGTTATTTCCCAGTGCAACAAGCACCCAAACACCTGTGGCAATTTCAGAATATCAGATCTTTCTGTTAACTGTGGGCCTGGAAACAACCAAGGAGGTAACAAATTGTCTTTTCAGAACATTGTTAATGTCACTGTGGTAATGGTGGACAGTATTTTTTCTCCTACCTGTTTTTTAATATGCTTCATAATGTCTTCTCTCCATCTGTGGTAATTCATAATATGCAATCATTTGCGATTAGCTGCAGCATAACATAAACCATAATCTTAAAGGCGTACATATTTAATGCCCTAACCTATCACTAATGTGCACCATTAGCTCCCATCATTCTTGATGGGAGCTGGAAATCCTTTTCTACTTGCTTTGAACTACATCTACTTAACTCATCAAAATAATATATTTTAAAATATAACAGCTGTATTGTAATGTACTAAACACAGTACAGATATAACAGATGTATTGTAATATACTAAACTTTGGCTTTCAGAAAGTACTTCAGGTGAGCATGAGTTTACAGAAGTGTGTAATGTGTCAAAGTCCAATGCATCTCTCAGAGGCTATGTGGAAATTATGAAGGACAGACAGCTGTAAGATCAGTGTGTCAACTTTTACTTGAATCCAAAATGTATTAGCTGAAATATATGATTCTGCAGAGGTCCTCAGGAGTGGGATGAATGAAAACGAGTCCAGAATAAAGGCACTCCAGGGGATCTGCCATACAAGTACTTCTGTAGGTGACGTTGGTTTGGGAACATGATGGCAATGAGCCCTTTCTCTCTTTTTGTGGATTGGGTAGAAGCAAGGTGGACAAACATTAAAAAGTTTTGTTTCATTGTAATTCAACTTCTTTGTTCTGGACTTTTGCTGTTAATTTTTGGTGCTGTTCATTTTAGTTGCAGTCCAGAGTGAAAGACTGATAGGATAAACTCTCTCACAATGTTTTATTATTTGCTACTTGCGGCTCAAGCCAAAAACTGGGTTGTGACCACGGCTCTGGGGGTGGGGGCCACACTGAGATTGTTCAATCAGGGCAAACTGCAAAGAATGGGGCAGATGATCCCCAAAACTGGAGGTTATTGTAATAATTAGACTCAGCAAGCCAGCAACACAACAGCTTCTACAATACCTTACTGGTTACCCAGAAGCCAAAAGCACAGTTCCCTTAAAACAACACAGCCTTGGGCTCCTACCCAGACAGCCAAGTCAAATATGATGAGGATTACTGAAAATCTTGTTCATCATATAAAAAGTTCTACCAAGCCCAAAGGATCTGACACATTACCCACCAGGTCACTGATTATTTCAGACGTTACCCAAATACACGCTTATAGCCAATTCTTATTAAATAAACTAAAAATTTATTTAAAAAGAAAAGAGAGAGAGTATTGGTTAAAAGGTCATTATACATACAGTTATGAATAAAGTTCTTAGGTCAGTTTCATAGTAGAGATGGTGAGCTTCAGTGTTACAAAAGGTTCTTTCAGAATCAGTTATGTAGGTCACAGTCCAATGGCCAATATCAGGGTGGCCCAGGCTGGATCTGGAGATCTCAGTCTTGTGACTCAAACTTCCCCTGAGGAAGCTTAAGCAGATCTGACATGGAGGCCCAAGAGCTCTTTTTATAAATCCCTGGCAGGCTATTGTCAGCCTCTTGACAGCAGGTGTTCCTTGGGTGAAGAATAGTGGCTTTGAAGTAACCTCCTATTTCCTAAGCATCACCAGTAGTTAGCTATATAGGTTAGCATAAGGCAACTGTCCATCTCCCACCATTTACAGGTAGTTTACTACATACTTCAAAGAGAAATGAAGACAATGATATTACTACACTCACAAAAGGAAAAGGAGTACTTGTGGCACCTTAGAGACTAACAAATTTATTTGAGCATAGTCTCTAAGTTCCCACAAGTCCTCCTTTTCTTTTTGCGAATACAGGCTAACACGGCTGCTACTCTGAAACTACACTCACAGTTCATCTAAATGTTAACATCTCCTTTTGATCTCTGAATTGACAGAATACAGTGACATACAGGAACCATTTGGTTACATTGTCAACCTCTAACAATATATATGTAAACACACAAAAAACCGCAACTATTATCTACTTATCTATCTCTAAAGGTTGAATCAGGGGCAATTAGCCTGCTAGTTGTGTAACCCTTTCTGTTTTACCCTGTGTTACATAGGCAGAGCAAATTTATTTAACAATGTATCTATATCTATCTATCTATCTGACTTTTTAAAAAGGTCACATTTAGTTCACCTTCAAATCTGGGGGAAGTTTTGGGGATACTATTTTTGGCTCTCTCTGCTTTTAAGTGTTCAGGTCTCTCAAGATTACCTGAATTTGCTTCTTTATACTGCCATGTCACCGTATCCTATCTGTATGCTGTGCCAAAAATCGGGGCTTTTTTTTGTATTTGTATTCTTTTGTTGACATGTTTCCATTTTTGCCTTAAATTATTATTTTTTTATTATTTCCCTGCAAGCTTCCTGATTCAATTTTGTACTTCATTAAAGATTTCATATATTTCAAATAGAGCCCAATGTAATTAGCTTTTTAATTACAGCTGCAGCAAGCTGTTTACTAGAGATTCTTAGTCTAGTGAACAAGCCCCTGTAGAAAACAAGAGCTATTTAGCCTTAGAGAAAAGTGAAAAATAGCCATTTTAAAAATCAGAATGGAAATATTTTGCCCACATCACACAATGCTATGGGAATGTTCTGAAATTCCAGTTTAAAGGATCCCCATTATAGAAAAATTGTGCCCCAGAACAAGGGGATAAAGATTCTGGGGGAAGGCCAAGAGCGGTGTGGTGACTTGACTAAATTCCAGTTGAGTAAGTGTATTCTATTCAACCCAAATGCTCCTGTAGTTTCAATTGGCTTAGGCAATTTTTACTTTCACATTCTGATCTGGCAGTAATTTACACCACATTGCACTCCCTTTGCACAGGTACACGTTACATAAGGTGCCAAAGGCAGTGCAGAACCTTTCCTGAGTATGCGCTATACGGTGGGCAGCATAGATGTCACTTTTCAAAGGCGGGTGAAGCATTTATGTCCTAAAAGTATCCTGATATAAGTCTAATTAATTTCTTTTTTTTAAGCTTTAAGAGCCATATTTTCAAAGATATTAAAGTGCTGATCTGCAAGCCCCTAAATACCTTTGAACATCAAACCCTAAGACCTTGTGAAATTCTCCTCTCTGTTACACCCAGTGGGAAGCCCGATGACTTCAGTAAAGTTTAACTGGTGTAATGGAGAGAAGAATTTAGCCCACTGTAAGTAAAATCAACATGCTTTGTTGAGAACTAATTATGGGCCAAATCCCGGCACTACTGCTAAGCATTGGCAAATCTCCCATTGACTTTCTTGGGATCCAGATCTGGTCCAAATGTCTTAAATACTGTACAATGGCACAATGCCTTTGCATAAAGTGTATTGCAATTCTATTCAGTTAAGAAACATGCAGTTAAATAACCTTAGATCTGAGCAGCAGGGTTGTCTCATTGCATCTTATTGTGAAACATAGACTATCAATATTACTTTCTTATGCTTCTTAGCATTTGGAATAGCCAAAGTCTGATATATATTATTATGTATATTGTTCTTTCCTCAGATACTGAACCACCTGTAGTGATCTCCTGTCCTCAGAACATTGAGATAGAAACCAAAAAAGGAAACTCCTACTGGAATGACTTGCCCGAATTGTCTTGGAAGGAGCCTGTGTTTGAAGACAACTCCAGGGGTCCACTGACAATCACAAAAGGAGGGTCCAATGTTAATAATGGAGACAAACTGGCATATGGCCAATATTCAGTGGAATATATAGCAACAGATCTTTCAGGAAACCAAGCCAAATGTTCCTTTGAGATCTCTGTGAAATGTATGTGTTTGGCTTATACTTAAGGTCAACAGAATAGAATATAATGAAGTATTAATGCTAATTGTCCTGTGGCATTTGTTGTTTGATTATTAATACCAAGTGGGGGTTAGGATATAAACTCTCACATTTTGTCTACATCTACAGGCCATTTATATGCAAGGGAAAACATGTATCCCCAAATGTTCCCCTGCCCCGGCTCCAGGGCTCTCCCTACCCATAAGCAAAGTACGCAGCTTCGTAGGGGACCAGGAACTTTGGGGCACCAAATTTCCTGGTGCCCTACACAGTTGTGTGCTGCTCCAGCCCCTGCTCCACCTCTTCCCCATGGCCCCTGCCCCTGCTCCCCCCCCAGCCCCACCTCTTCCCACCCCTGCTCTGCTCCAGCTCTGACCCCACTCCACCCCTTCCCCAAAGCCATGCCCCTGCTCTGTCCCCGCCCAGCCTTTTCGCACCCCACCCCCACACTCCCCTGAGGACTGCAGCAGGGTCAGACCTACACTCACCGGCGGTGGCAGGAAGTGCAGCGACCCAGCCCCAGCCTGCTCTGTGACACCAATGAGTGCTGGGGGATGGTTCCCCTCCTACCCCCGAAGCCTGGGAGCCAGGGGAGCAGAGCGGAGCAGGCTGGGGCCAGGTCACTCCACTTCCCACCACCCATGAGTGCGGGACGGGTCTGCCCTTCACTCACTGGGCGGCAGGAAATGGAACGACCCAGCCCCAACCCACTCCACTCCGCCGGCTTGTGCTCCTGCTCCCATCCCCCACAGAGGCCTGGGGCCCCACACAGCCACCTGGTGGTGGTGGGGGGGGGCGCTGCGTAGTGCACCAAAATGGCTAGGGATGGCCCTTCCCGGTTCTTACAGCTTTGCTCTCTGTCCTCACGCAGCACACTAGCTTTTCACTGAAGCCTATGTGTCAGCTCTGTGTAAAGAATTGCTTCCTTCAATGGCTCCAGGTACAGATCTTCACACAAGTTATAGAATTCAAACCAACTTCTTATAATGAAATATGAGCCTGAGATGCAAAGTTTGGCTCCAGATTGGAAGTTGGGGCCGAGACAAGGCTTGAGGGGAAAGATCTGGCATTCTGATTCAGGCTCCTCTCTATTCAAAGAAATCATCTGTAACAAGCACGTTTTCAGAAGCGGTCACTCACACACTTTGTGTGCCACAGTTGTGTGGGGTATCCCACTTGAGACATCTTGTGCCTGATTTTCAGGGCTACTGAGAACCCACTTTCCACAGAGTACCCCAGGAGCAGGTCACACCAATTCCCTGACTGCTTCTGAAAATTTTAGCTGTGTTCCTCCTGATGATGACCTGTTCTGTTCATTCCCTCTGGGGCACCTGGCACTGGCCACTGTCGGAAGACAGGACACTGGGCTAGATGGACCTTTGGTCTGACCCAGTAGGGCCGTTCTTATGTCCATACATGCTCCCAAATACTATTTCCAGTATAATGCTATAATGAATTGCTGAAGACTGGCTGAGTCTTACGTCCACGCAAGGGTTCAATCCCAAACGTTTCCTATGTTACACAAATAGGCACATAAGAACTAGTTTCCCTTTACACACTGTAGGGGACTAGTCGCATCATCTTGAAGATTTACCCAACAGCAACATTTTTATCATGTATATTAATTTATAGAAATATTTTAAGAATTTCTGTCTAATATTTTGCATAATTTGCTTTTTAGTACATGTAAACAGTGTCACTCATTGTTAACTCAGTTTTTATTGTTGTCTTTTTTTATGTATACACAAAGCAATTGCATGCACCATGGAATTGCCGGAGCATGGAGCCATAGTCTGTGGCTATCCTTCAGTGGAAGGCATGGACCTCATGACCATTGACTGTATTGTACTGTGTCAAAGCAAATACCAGTTTAGCAGGGATCCATATCCAATATATGCATGCTCAGAGGAGGGACTTTGGTGGACCTTCACAAGCACATTCATGCCCATTGGCCCAAATTTGCCAAGTTTAAACCATAAGTGCCAAGGTAAGAAAGTTTAAATGAAGGAAAAACTTTGTAACTAATTAAAAATTCTTATTTTCATGTTATATTTTCACCACTTTGATGAGCCTGATGGCATGTAAATTATATTTCAAGTATTCATTAAAAGTAGTTTACCCTTTTTCTATAAATAACACTTGTCAGATTTTTCAAATCAGCACTTGAGGTGGGTTGAGTTCAGCTGCTTGATTTACTTAATTATAGATTAAAAATATGGTGAGGGAGTGTAGATATTTCACATTAATTATGTCCATGAAGAGCTTTGTTCTGATCACCAATCCAGAGTCTTTACACAGAAAATGGAGACATATCAATGAGAGACCATACTACTCTCTAACCAGTGGGGGATTACAGGAATAAAGCACCATAGCTTTATTAACTGATTACTTTTCACAAGAACAGAACCTGAATATATGGGACTTGCACAGGGGCCTTTCAAGGGCTTGCATATTGGGCACAAGCAAACAATAAGCATTTTAATGTGGCTACATGTAAAGGTATACATTTGTAAACAAAGCATGTACACCATACACACAGGATGGAGGACTCTGTCCTGGGAAACATGACTCTTAAAAAGATTTGTGAGTTGTGGTGGAGAATCACCTGAATGTGAGCTCCCAGTGCAATGCTGTGGCCAAAAAGGTGAACGTATAATGCTTGGCTGCACCAACACAGGAATCTCGAGTAGAAGTAGAGAGGTTATTTTACCTCTCTGTTTGGCACTGGTGCGACCGCTCCTGGAACACTGTCTCCAGTTCTGCTGTTCACAATTTAAGAAGGATGTTGATAAATTGGGAAGGACTCAGCGAAGAGCCATGAGAATGACGAGAAAAAACATGTCTTATAGGGATAGATTTAAAGAGCTCAATCTATTTAATTTAATAAAGAGGAGATTAAGGGGTGACTTGGTTACACTCTGTAAGCGCCTACATAGGGAACAAATATTTGATAATGGACTTTTCAGTCTAGCAGAGAAAGGTATAACACAATCAGGTAGCTAGAAGTTGAAGCTAGGCAAATTCAAACAGGATGTATGGAAAACATTTTTAACAGTGAGAGTAATTAACCGTTGGAACCATTTACCATAGGTAGCTTCTTCATCACAGATAATTTTTAAATTAAGATTTGATGTTCTTCTGAAAACTGTGCTCTGAGAATTATTCCAGGGGAAGTTCTGTGGCCTGTGTTATACATGAGTTCAGATGATGATCACAGCAGTCCCTTCTATCCTTGGAATATATGAATCTATATAAGTTTTTTGGCTCTTTTGGGGGCAGAACTGTGTCTATCTTTGTGTTTGGAAAGTGCCTCGCTCATTCTGAATGCTATCACAGTATAAATAATTATAAGAACCCACTAGCACATCCTGAGACATCCATGTGGCTCATCTTTAGTTGCTTCGACAGTCCCAGGGTTACAGTAGTAACTATAGCCCATACATCTTCATAGTGGCTTCTAGAAGGTGGATGCGTGAAGACTGTGGATGCTTTGGTCATGACCATGCTCTCTCCCCTGACTCATCTTAGGCCCAAAGAGAGAGAGAGAGAGAGAGAGAGAGAGTGAACATGAAGCATTGTTCCAGGCAAAAGGGTCTATGCTATAAAATTTTTCTTCAGTCTCTCTCTTCAGCCTGCCATGCTCAAAATGCAGAAAATTGTTGGCATAATTTTGATTGCATTCTGTCCTATTCATTTTATTTATTTTGGCCCTGATCCTGCAAAAACATATACACGTGTGTCATGATAAGCATGATAAGCATGAGAGTAAACCCAGTGGGTCAATTTATATACTTCAGATTACAAACACATCTGTAAGTCTTTGCAGGGTCCTTTTCCTACGGGTTCATTCAAAACCCACTAAAAGCAATGTGAGCCTTAGTCCTTACCTTTAATCTTACCAATTCATTCTTTTATGATATTTGTTGTATTAAAAGTTCCAGATATGTAAACATTAAAATCAAAACTATCCTCATAGCATTTGGTTTAAATTGCAAAATAGGATGCTCTGCATCACTGAGGTGACCGGCTAGGTCAAAATTAATCCTGTGTTTTCTTTGCCTGTTTCTTTAGAACCAAATATCCATAAAAAGCCAAAAGTTGTTGATCAGAACTTTTACTTTGATGGTGACTGCCATGACAGAGCAGTGCAAGACATGCTGGTAGGACACTTGGAATATTTTCAGAGGAAAACTTCAGCTTATCAGTACTGTGAATTAAACAGAGAGTTCTGCAGAAAGTGGAATGGCTACCGCAATGTAACGGTGTTCTGTGGAAGCACGTGAGATGGAATGACTGTATTGTTTGTTACTTTTTTTTTGGAATGTATTTGCATGCATGTGTGAGAACTACATATTATCCAAGTATTCAGACTGTTCCTTGAAAGCAGTTTGTGCTGTAACCTTATTTCCTCTTGTAAAATAAAATTAGGGTAAAAATATAATCACTATCATTTTCTTTCTTCTGTGGAAGTGGATGACACTGAACTTTAAACCACAGGTTGGTTGGTTTTTACTGGTGCAAAAGAAAATGGTCAAATATCTTGAGCTTCCCCTATTGTTGCTACTACTTGAGAAATTTGGCATTGTGAGTTACATACATGGACTGATAGGAGACAGGATACTAGTGAGTTACATTGGGGGACTTTTCGGTGGCTTCCACTTTTTTATTTTTTAATTATAATGTAAAACTGGTGAGGGCAATTTTGAAGCCATATGTAGGAGCATCATTATGGGGATATTTGTTAACACAAAGTTACACTAAGTTGTTTCAGAGTAGAGTGGCTGCTATTAAAAAGTCAGTATTTGTCAATAATTATGCACCTCAGAGTTATGTAAGATTATGACAGTCTTTTTCATCCTAGCATTAGAATAGGAAGTATCTATTAGAACTTTGTGATAAGGGCATGCAAATATTGAGTATCAATAGAACTGGCTGAAAAAAAACAATTTTCCATGAAAAATATAGAGGGATTTTTCCTTCCCCATGTTTCTTTCAACTTTATGACCAGCTCTGCCTGTTAATGGCCTCTATTCTATATTGTGAATTGGACTGTAAAATTATTTTACAACTAACAAGATCCCGTCCAGAATTAAAATATATCAATATTTATGTGTTGTCTTGGATTCAGCATCGGTAGTATCACTACTTAGCAACTGATCTGTAGTTGCCTGAATTAGATAAAGACATTGGGCCTAAGCCTTCGCTGGCATAGCTTGCACTCGCTCTTAACTGAAATGTAGTTGTGTCATTTTTACCAGCTGATGATTTGGCCCCGTATAGCTATTTTCGCAGAAAAAGATAGAAGACAAATGTAGTCTACTCATTAGGGCTCTGGAATGAAAGTCAGGAGAAAGTTCCTTGTTTGGCCATTAACTTGCTGTGAAATGTTGGGTAAGTCACTTAAGTTGTCTGTACCAGAGGTTCTTAACCTAGGGTTTGCTGCTCCCCGGGGGACTGTGAGCCCTTTTGGGGGAAGAGGGGGTGCAGAGCCCCGCAGCTGAAACCCAGTGCCCTGAGCCCCGGCACCCCCCTGCAGGGCTGAAGCCGGGACTGGCATGGGGCTGAAGCCGAGAGCCCCAGTGTTTCCCCCTCCCTGCCCTACGAAGTTGTGAGCTGTGCAGGACTGGACCCCTGAGCCCCGGCGTTCCCTGCAGGCAGAAGCCCTGAGTCCATGGCCAGAGTTGGGGGCCATAAGGGTGTTGCCCCCCCAAACTGCAGTGCCTTACCCAGAGCAGAGCAGTCCCCTCACTGTCCCCACACTGCCTCCTCTCCCTCATCCCCCCTCAGGCCATGCCCTCTGGTCAGGTTGTAGGTGGGAAGCCAGAGCCAGGCAGTGCGGGGCAGGTGGAGCCATGGAGTGGGCAGCTGTGGCATTCCCCCGTCTGCTGCTGGTGTCTGGGGTTGTGGCTGCTCCTCAGCTCCCAGCCCTCTTTGACTGCTCACACCCAGGTGGAGGGACCCCGCTCTGGGGCCAGCAGAGCCCTCAGGGAGCAACCTCCACAGCGGGAGCCCTCCTGGCACAGAGTCCCTAGCTATTGTTTTCCCTGCACCCTGAGCTCCCCCACCCCCCGCCTGTGCATTCCCTAGCTACACCCTCACTGCACCCTGAACTAGCCCCCTGCCTGCACACAGCCCCAGCTAGCCCCCACCCCCACACAACCCCCTAGCCACCCCTTGCCTGCACCCTTAGCTACCCCCCCGTCCACACACAGCCCCAGCTACCCCCTCGCTGCACCCTGAACTAGCCCCCCGCCTGCACACACAGCCCCTAGCTGCCCCCTCCCTGCACACTGAGCTACCCCCCACGCCCACACAGCCCCAGCTACCCACTCCCTGCACCACAAGCTACCCTGCCTCTTGCACACAGCCCCAGCTACCCACTCCCTGCACCTTTAGCTACCACCCTGCCCGCACACAGCCCCTAGCCACCCCCTGCCTGCACCCTTAGCTACCACCCTGCCCACACACAGCCCCTAGCACTCTCCTCCCTGAACCCTAAGCTACACCCCTCACTACACATAGTCCCTAGCAACACGCTGCCTGCACCCGGAGCGGTTTTCAAACTTTTTGAGCTGAGTCCCCCATTTGAGTTATATTTTTTTGATAGCACCCCTCCCCTCCCCCACCCCGGGAACCCAGACAGGCAGGTGAGGTGAGTCAGGAGGGTGGAAGTGGCACTCCCTCCTTGGATCCTGCTGTGTGGAGCTAGCCCTTGCCCTCCCAAAAATAGAAGTGAAATTGCCTATGCCCCCCTCTCCTGCTGGGCCCTGGAGTTTTTATAGCATGTCGAAAGGGGTCTCAGCAAGAAAAAGGTTGAAAACCTCTTGTCTATACCTCAGTATTCCCATATTTATAGTGGTATACTAATGCTTGCCAATGTTTTTAAAGAATTTGGAGAGCTACATCTGAAAAGTGCAGTATAACTGCTCAGTATTCATAATGTTACATTAAGGCAGAGGAAAAAATATAAAGATAGTTAAACTAGTTCTTAATGGAATAAACAGCGGGAATGCTGGGACCTAGACATCGTTATGATTCTTGATTTGTTAAAACGAAGCCTACCTAAAGTCAGCGTTCTTTATTCGTAATGTTTAGAAGTCAATGAAAATAATGAATGAAAAAAAAATGAATTCGACTTCCGTCGAATCGTGGAAGTCAACGAATGGCTACGCAGGTGGTGTCGGAGAGAAGGCTTTGGATTCTTTGACCATGGGATGGTGTTCCATGAAGGAGGAGTGCTGGGCAGAGACGGGCTCCATCTTACGAAGAGAGGGAAGAGCATCTTTGCCAGCAGGCTGGCTAACCTAGTGAGGAGGGCTTTAAACTAGGTTCACCGGGGGAAGGAGACCAAAGCCCTGAGGTAAGTGGGAAAGCGGGATACCGGGAGGAAGCACAGGCAGGAATGTCTGTGAGGGGAGGGCTCCTGCCTCATACTGAGAATGAGGGGCGATCAGCAGGTTATCTCAAGTGCTTATATACGAATACACAAAGCCTTGGAAACAAGCAGGGAGAACTGGAGGTCCTGGTGATGTCAAGGAATTATGACGTGATTGGAATAACAGAGACTTGGTGGGATAACTCACATGACTGGAGTACTGTCATGGATGGTTATAAACTGTTCAGGAAGGACAGGCAGGGCAGAAAAGGTGGGGGAGTAGCACTGTATGTAAGGGAGCAGTATGACTGCTCAGAGCTCCGGTACGAAACTGCAGAAAAACCTGAGTGTCTCTGGATTAAGTTTAGAAGTGTGAGCAACAAGAGTGATGTAGTGGTGGGAGTCTGCTATAGACCACCGGACCAGGGGGATGAGGTGGATGAGGCTTTCTTCCGGCAGCTCGCGGAAGCTACTAGATCGCATGCCCTGGTTCTCATGGGTGACTTTAATTTTCCTGATATCTGCTGGGAGAGCAATACAGCGGTGCATAGACAATCCAGGAAGTTTTTGGAAAGTGTAGGGGACAATTTCCTGGTGCAAGTGCTAGAGGAGCCAACTAGGGGGGGCGCTTTTCTTGACCTGCTGCTCACAAACCGGGAAGAATTAGTAGGGGAAGCAAAAGTGGATGGGAATCTGGGAGGCAGTGACCATGAGTTGGTTGAGTTCAGGATCCTGACACAGGGAAGAAAGGTAAGCAGCAGGATATGGACCCTGGACTTCAGGAAAGCAGACTTCGACTCCCTCAGGGAACGGATGGGTAGGATCCCCTGGGGGACTAACATGAAGGGGAAAGGAGTCCAGGAGAGCTGGCTGTATTTCAAGGAATCCCTGTTGAGGTTACAGGGACAAACCATCCCGATGTGTCGAAAGAATAGTAAATATGGCAGGCGACCAGCTTGGCTTAACGGTGAAATCCTAGCAGATCTTAAGCATAAAAAAGAAGCTTACAAGAAGTGGAAGGTTGGACATATGACCAGGGAAGAGTATAAAAATATTGCTCGGGCATGTAGGAATGAAATTAGGAGGGCCAAATTGCTCCTGGAGCTGCAGCTAGCGAGAGATGTTAAGAGTAACAAGAAGGGTTTCTTCAGGTATGTTGGCAACAAGAAGAAAGCCAAGGAAAGTGTGGGCCCCTTAATGAATGAGGGAGGCAACCTAGTGACAGAGGATGTGGAAAAAGCTAATGTACTCAATGCTTTTTTTGCCTCTGTCTTCACGAACAAGGTCAGCTCCCAGACTGCTGCGCTGGGCATCACAACATGGGGAATAGATGGCCAGCCCTCTGTGGAGAAAGAGGTGGTTAGGGACTATTTAGAAAAGCTGGACATGCACAAGTCCATGGGGCCGGACGAGTTGCATCCGAGAGTGCTAAAGGAACTGGCGGCTGTGATTGCAGAGCCATTGGCCATTATCTTTGAAAACTCGTGGCGAACGGGGAAAGTCCCGGATGACTGGAAAAAGGCTAATGTAGTGCCAATCTTTAAAAAAGGGAAGAAGGAGGATCCTGGGAACTACAGGCCAGTCAGCCTCACTTCAGTCCCCGGAAAAATCATGGAGCAGGTCCTCAAAGAATCAATCCTGAAGCACTTACATGAGAGGAAAGTGATCAGGAACAGTCAGCATGGATTCACCAAGGGAAGGTCATGCCTGACTAATCTAATCGCCTTCTATGATGAGATTACTGGTTCTGTGGATGAAGGGAAAGCAGTGGATGTATTGTATCTTGACTTTAGCAAAGCTTTTGACACGGTCTCCCACAGTATTCTTGTCAGCAAGTTAAAGAAGTATGGGCTGGATGAATGCACTATATGGTGGGTAGAAAGTTGGCTAGATTGTCGGGCTCAACGGGTAGTGATCAATGGCTCCATGTCTAGTTGGCAGCCGGTGTCAAGTGGAGTGCCCCAGGGGTCGGTCCTTGGGCCGGTTTTGTTCAATATCTTCATAAATGATCTGGAGGATGGTGTGGATTGCACCCTCAGCAAATTTGCGGATGATACTAAACTGGGAGGAGTGGTAG